GAGGCATGCAATGCCAAAGGTTGGGTTGCAATGGCTGAAGGTTCAGCCATTAATGGTGCGAATGCACAACAGGGCCATGTTAACTGAGTGGAGGGGTGAGCAGATGTGTGGGGTATGAAAAGATCAAAGAGACATGGAAGTGCTAGGATGTGAAGGGTTTATAAGGAAGGGTGAGAATCTTGAATTCAATCAGAGAGCCATTTGGCGCCTGGTGAAGATTGAATTCTTGGGTTGATGAATTAAAAGGAAGGGAACAAAATAAAGATGTAATTTGCTATTTTGCTGAGATGTGAGACTATGGTGGTGGGGTGCAAAGGGTCGGGGCAGAATCATTGTCATTGAAATGCTAGGAAGTAAGCACTAATATGAAGAAAACTACCCTAGATAGGATTAAATCAGAATTTAATTGATGTAATATCTGTGACCCTGATCTCATTAGTTTAGATAAAGAAAGAAAAAAGAAAGGAAATGCATTTCATTGCACTTTATCACGTCAAAATGTCTAAGAGTATTTCACAGGTAATTACCATCAAATTCTTTCTGCTGTTTCAAGTTTTGTCCCCATTGGGAAATACCACCATAGTCTTAATTAATCGTGGCAAACTGGCTTCCAAAGTAGGACTGAATTTTCCCAAATCAGCAAATATGAATGCAATATTATTGAGAAGACCAAAAGCAGAATAGAATCAAAATCTACTGGGATGTCTCCCATGGATAAATAGCTTGCTGACAATCTCAGTTTCAGATGAAACTTTAGCTAGGTTTGTGAGTGTGAACAGTCATAGAACTGTACCTCAGCACAAGCAATGTCAGCAACTCTAAGGTGATATGCCTGGCAGTGGAATGCTGGAATTAGATCAATCCTCTGTGGTGGTCTTGGTTGTATAATTCCTGAATCAAACAGTTCTGAGGTGCTCCAAGGCATGATTAAATGAGAAAGCCTGGGTCATCAGCAGGACTTGAAGGGGTAATAATAATAATAATAATAATAATAATAATAATAGTAATAATAATAATAATCCTTGTATTTGATATAGTGCTTTTCACATCTTCTAGATGTCTCAAAGAGCTTCATAGAATAAGCTGTAAAGTGAATTGACTGTATATTTGTGGGCTAAACAGACTGGGTAGACCAGTCATTAAGGGTAGACATGCTTCCATTCCTAGTAATCCTACAAGTGCTGTGCCTCTCACCAGGACACTTACCTGTTCCTGGTACCTGTCATCCACTTAGTAAGGGCTCAAACCTGTGCTTGTTGGATATAAAATTACCATCTAGTATCCATTTCCCTTAGGGTAAATAAGTCAAGCTAAACCAGCTCCAAGGTGACATGCTTGGCAATGGAATGTCAGAATGAACTCAATCTATGGTGATCTTGATCTTCCAGTTCCTCAGCCTGGCAAGTCCACAATACTTCAGGACATGGCTGATGACAAGCCAGCCAGCCTCAGTCTTGGAAGGGCAGACTTAGTCACCCGTGGGGAGGCAAGGATTATTCCCGCTCTGCAAGCCAAGTTTCTAATGGGCAGGGTGGCCCTAGATGGATAATCAGTGGAAAGTTTGCTACCCAATGCAAGCTATAGGGTTTTTAGCTTGTTAAACTCCAGCAGTGCCCCAAAGCACATTCACAGGTCTCCCAGCCATGGCTCTTGCCAGCTAATGTTGCACCTAATGTTCTCTGGAATTACTTAACCAGGGAGTTATTGTGTATTTCATTCCAGACATGGGAATTTTTATGGGGAATGTGTAGGTGGCATGCATGGAATTCTCAGTCTGTTTTGGATTCTCTTAAGCATGGAGTTGGGTTTCTACATGTATCTGACCAACCAAAATAAAATTCCTATAAACCAAAAGCTCTATAAGGTAAATGAGTAACGTGATCGCAGCAGGACAAGGACAAGCAATGGGAAACATGTTACACAGTGCACTATCCAGAAACAGCAAATTAGTCTTCTCCACTCCCTGCCCAGGAAATTGCATCTAAAGGGTAAAAATATGACTACATGCTTTCAGCATTTTCTATTTTAATCCCAAAGGTCAGATTAAATTTAAAATGCTGATTTTTCTATTATTTTCTGAACTGATGTTGTTGATTAAAACTGCTGAATCGGTCCATGGTCTTGATTTCAGTAACATAAGAATAAGTCAAAGCAGAACAGCTGTGCTGTCCATGGTCCTGATATATATGGTAAACATGGAAGAAGTTCTGCTGATAATAATAATAATCCTTGCATTTGATATAACGCCTTATCACATCTTCAAGACGTCTCAAAACGCTTCACAGAATATACTGTAAAGTGAATTGACTGTATATTTTGTGGTTGAAACGCGGCAGCCAATTGCGCACAGCAGTTTCCTTCAAACAGTCGTGGATTGAAGTGACCAATTTTGGGGGGTTTTTGAAAAAATTATTATCTCCGGAAAAGATCCACTAACAGCCAGGTTCTTACTTACTGCTAGGTAAACAGAGGTGCGTGGAGTAAAAAAACTTGCCCAACATTCGCCCTGCCAGGAATCGAACCCAGGTCTCTTGCTTAATAAATAAAATAATCCTTGCATTTGATATAGCGTTTTTCACATCTTCCAGGGATATTGTCGATAATACATCAACAATAAATTGCATTGATACAATGCCTTTCACATTAGAACGATATTTCAAAGCACTTCACAGGACAACTGTAAAGCAGATTGACTGTGCAGTTTCTAAGAAAATACAGCAGTTAATTTGTGCACAGCAATGCCCCACAAATAGAGTGGAGTCCTGTAGTGATTTGATTAAAGTACTTGCCTCATCACTGAGAGGACTTGGGTTCGATTCCAAAGCAGGGCGAAACCTTAGGCCAGTTTCCTTACTCCACACTCCTCTGTTTACTTAGCAATAAGTAGGAACCCGGTTATTAGTTGATTGATGGATCGCTTTTCCAGGGATAATAATCCTTTTTAAAAAAAAATAAAGTGATTATTTGGTCACTCAATCCATGACTGTTTTGGGGGAACTGATGTGTGCAATTGGCTGCTGTGTTTTCCCAACAAAATAAACAGTCAATTCATTTTATAGTATATTCTGTGAAGTGCTTTGAGACATCTTGGTGATAAGGCACCATATCAATTGCAAGGATATTATTACAAATATCCAAGAAGTAAATGACCAGACTCAACTTGGACTTTCCCCATAGTGTTGGCCTTGCTATTATTGACCAGAACAGCAGAAGAAACTCGCTTCTTTTTTCAAATAGTGTCATTAAATCTTTGATAAACACTTGAACAGGCAAATATTTAATTATTCCTCTGAAGGACTGCAATGCAATGCACCTCCACACCTCTGCATTGGATAGTCAACCTGGACTGAGAACTCAAGTCCTGACTTGTATTTGTCCTCCCGACGTGAAAGGCGCTCTATAAATGCAATCTTGTTGTTGTTGTTGATGACAAGCCTTACCACATCATCAAAATGTCACAAAGCACTTTGCAGAATTTACTGTAGCGTGTAGTGACTGTGCGGTTTGTGCGCAAACACTGTTTGCACACAACAATTGCCTCACTAAAAGCCATGAAGTGGTCCATTTTATCTGGAGGATTATTGGCCAGGGGCACTGGGGGGGAAAAAAACCTCTCTTCTCTTTCCTAAGACGTGGTTGAGACGTCTCAAAGCGCTTCACAATAATATACTGTAAAGTGCATTGACTGTATTTTGTGGGTGACCTGTTCTAAACTCTCAAATGTCAGGTCAGAATTGCACAGCAGGAAGTTGGAGGGATTTAGGACCCGGAGTGTTGATCTGTCTGTCGGTGTGGCTGAGAGCTCAGGGAAAATTCATGAAGTGCAATTTTTTTTTCTCTGGGATTATAGGCTCGACAAACAGCACAGCACTGACTGCCCGGCGCACACACCGGGATCAGTGGCTCAGCAGCAGCAGCTCAGCCCAGCACAGCACAGCACAGCAGCCCAGCACAGCACAGCACAGCAGCCCAGCCCAGCACAGCACAGCAGCCCAGCACAGCCCAGCACAGCTCAGCCCAGCACAGCTCAGCCCAGCAGCTCAGCTCAGCCCAGCCCAGCCCAGCCCAGCACAGCTCAGCCCAGCCCAGCACAGCTCAGCCCAGCCCAGCACAGCTCAGCTCAGCCCAGCACAGCTCAGCAGCCCAGCCCAGCAGCCCAGCCCAGCAGCCCAGCACAGCCCAGCACAGCAGCCCAGCACAGCAGCCCAGCCCAGCACAGCAGCCCAGCCCAGCCCAGCACAGCAGCCCAGCCCAGCCCAGCACAGCAGCCCAGCCCAGCCCAGCACAGCAGCCCAGCCCAGCCCAGCACAGCAGCCCAGCCCAGCCCAGCAGCCCAGCCCAGCACAGCAGCCCAGCCCAGCAGCTCAGCCCAGCACAGCAGCCCAGCCCAGCAGCCCAGCACAGCAGCCCAGCACAGCCCAGCCCAGCCCAGCACAGCAGCCCAGCCCAGCCCAGCCCAGCACAGCAGCCCAGCCCAGCCCAGCCCAGCACAGCAGCCCAGCAGCCCAGCCCAGCAGCCCAGCACAGCAGCCCAGCAGCCCAGCACAGCAGCCCAGCCCAGCCCAGCCCAGCCCAGCAGCCCAGCCCAGCAGCCCAGCACAGCAGCCCAGCAGCTCAGCAGCTCAGCTCAGGCACTGCTGCTCCTCGATCCCTTCATGTTGGCTTCTGATCCGCTTCTGCGCCTGAATGGGGTTTAGAGAACAAGTTGGGATCCAGAGTGTGGACTGAGGGATGATCCGAGCGATCGCGTGGGAAGACTGAGAGTTTGAGTTTGCAGCACAGAGACAGACACAGAGACAGACACAGAGACACAGACACAGACAGAGATACAGACACAGAGACACAGACACAGAGACACAGACACAGAGACAGAGACACAGACACAGAGATACAGACACAGAGATACAGAGATACAGACACAGACACAGAGACACAGACACAGAGACACAGACACAGAGATACAGACACAGAGATACAGACACAGATACAGACACAGACTGGGAGGTGACATGCAGCTGCTGCTCAGGCTGGTGGTTTGTGCTCTGTCCCTGTCTGGCAACACAGGTAAGTGTGTGTGTAATCTCTTCCTCTCAATAAACTGTAACTGCCTTTATTTGGGCTCTTATGCCGTTATAATGGCCGCCTGGTCAGTTAGTTAGCAATTGAGTAACGCAGTGATCTTGTTAGGTTTTGGATGGTTGGCACAGGCACAGAGTGAGAGAGAAATAAACTCACTCACTCACTCACTCACACATCCACTCACTCACTCACTCACTCACACATCCACTCACTCACTCACTCACTCACACATCCACTCACTCACTCACTCACTCACACATCCACTCACTCACTCACTCACTCACACATCCACTCACTCACTCACTCACTGACTCACTCACTCACTCACTCACTCACTCACACATCCACTCACTGACTCACTCACTCACACATCCACTCACTCACTCACTCACACATCCACTGACTCACTCACTCAAAAAGGATGGAGAATTGTGTCCATTTTCCCTTCTCGATGCAGAAGGAATATTGTGCATCATTCCCTGAATTTATTCCCTGGACTCTGTTCTGGGAATGAATGACTTCAGTCACCGTCTCTGGCTGCACAGATCTTTACTCATCGCCCTGTTCTTGCACCGACGCGCCTTTGGGTACGATTAATGTTCAGATTTAGGGCTCATAATTAATTTAGACCCAAATGTATTTGGAGATATCCCTGGAGAAATGTCAGGGTTCTGGTTGAATGATCTGATCTGATTCCGTCCTGAATGAAGTGTCAATAACAGAGAGAGAGAGAGAACTGATCTGTTTATATATATATGTATATAAATATATTATACTAAGGACACAAAGGTGCAGGGAATGGAAGGGCGATCAGGTCGTTATTATTGTTATAAAATGCAAAAAGGAGAAAGAGACTTTTTAGTCGATGAGTTGAATTGCGTGTGTTTATGTGTGTGTGTGTGTGTGTAAAAAAAAAAGTGCTGTTTGTAGCACATGGAAAATAAAATCAAGCAAGTCGCTGCTCCACCATCTGGAGATGTTTCAATCTGGCCACGTTTGCAGAAGCTTTGGTCAAAGAAATGCAGCCACTTCGTTTAAAGATGTCGTGAAGACGCATCTGCTCGGATTTGCCCCGCAAGACTGTAAATGTTTGATGGGGCCGCAGGGCAGGAGGTCGGAAAAGGGCAGCGTTGCGACTTGGTCAAAGCGCCTTGGCAACGATTGACACTGAACAGATAATAATAATAATAATAATAATCCTTGCATTTGATATAGCGCTTTTCACGTCTTCCAGACGTCCCAAAGCGCTTCACAGAATGTACTGTAAAGTGAATTGATTTTATATTTTGGGGCGAACGCGGCAGCCAATTGCGCACAGCAATGTCCCACAACCCAGTGAATTCAACAGCAAATTCCCAGCCACCAGCTGGAATAATTACCTGCACTGTGTGGAGAGCTGGGCGGTACCTGCGCAACACACACACAGAGGAACACAGGGAGACAGGGAGATCACTTGAGTGCCCTGTTTGTTACAAAGCACAGTGGTTGAATTTTTTTGCCCACAAAATATACAGTCAATTCACTTTGCAGTATATTCTGCCGCAGGCGCTTCGAGACGCCTCAAAGACATAATAAGGCGCTATATCAAATGCAAGGATTATTATTATTAATATATATTTTCAGTGGCTTGCAGGCTGGCAAAGTGCTCTGTAATTCATCTGGGCTATTGCGTGGAATGAAACAAAGATGGGTTTTAAAGAGAACAGGAAAACAACAACAACAACAAGATTGCATTTATAGAGCGCCTTTCATGTTGGGAGGACGTCCAAAGGCGCTGCACAGTTGGGTCGGGACCTGAGCAGGGGGGAAATGGTCAGGGTGAGGGGAGGGAAGGGAGGGAGCGAGGAGGGGCTAGAGAGTCGAGAGGGGAGGTGAAGGCATGGTTGAAGAGAAACGTTTGATTGAAAAAACAAAGTAAACGTAATGTTCAAGGCACTCTAAGAAGCCGTGCTTTAACCTAAATAAAGTCTACAGTTGATTTAGAAGTATTGTCTAACTCCTCATGTGTGTCACCAATTCTTGAAAGAGTCATGATATAGTCAAACCGGTGAATTTAAGTCAATACTTTAGGCGTGTTATAGTTGTTTCTTTTACATGTAAGTTTGATTCTCAGAAACTTTGTTTCGATTATCTTAACTTCATTTTTTTAAAAACAAAAACACAGCCTCCAGTTACTGTATTGTTTAGCATTGGTACGGATTTGTAGGACTGGAAAATATACTTTATTTGAAAATCCAAACCTTCACTTTTTATATCTGGGAATAATTTTCTCTTCCCCTTTTTCCTTTTGAATTCTTCCCACCACTGCAACTTTCCGAGCTGGTGGAAAGGAAAGGCTGCAGTGCTGTCAGCCTCCATCAACGTAGGCAGTTGATACAGGGTGTGTGAGAGCAGTGATTTTCCCGTTTTTCTCTCCTTTTTGGATAACTCCCTGAGCAGCTATTCCCCACTTTGATACAACACAATTGAGATGAGACATTCGCCCAATGGGAATATTTGATTGAAAAAAAATCCAGCAATTCTTTATTGTTTCATCTGTATTGAGAAAGAGAAGGGGGTTTCCCATGAAGTCTCGGCAAGCAATCCCCCAGACAAAATTGATCATTTAATTCATCGCTGTTTGTGGGATATTGCTTGAATATATTGGCTGTCCCATTTGCCTACACAACACACCATCCTTTACAGTAAATCTATGAAGTACTTTCAGATATCTGGATGATGTGATAAGGTGCTATATTATATGCAAGGATTATTTATGTTTACTGTCTATCAATTGCATATAATAGTTACATGAATTATTTTGTGTTTGTAAGGCGAGACTTTCCACATGGCTCTCAATTTAATCTATTATATAGCATTTCAGAGGTTCTAGAATTTGGAAAATTGTGGAATTCAGCCATAACTTCAAAGCTGCTTTTTCTGTAATCCTTAAAAGAAATGCACAGGAAAGGCAGATTCAAAATGAAGACTGTATTTAAGAAATTGCCAAATTCTGTGTGCTCTGAAATATAACTATAGAGTAATTCAAGAACTAGGTGGAATTTCACCCCAGTAGAGTCAACATAAATCAAATGCTGTTGCCTGTTCACAGGAACAGATTGAAAATGTGTTCAAAATTTACATCTGTATTTCCTCTTTGTATTAACCCTGCTAGATTTATTTACAAATTCACAGTCATTACACATTACACTTGGCAGCTATTACTTGTGAAGAATTTGAGACATTTTGAGTTTATTGGTGCCATATCAAATACAAAGAATATTATCTTATTATGATTTAAAGTAAGGTCCTGATAGATGTCAAGCACTATCATTGTTAAGTGCTCCAAAATGCTACTACACATAAAAGGCACTAGATATTTGCAAGTTTTTGTTGTTGATAGGTTAGTTACATCAATAAGTAAATCAATAAGTAAATCAATAAGTAAATCAATAAGATGTAAAGGCTAAATTGTAATGAAAAAGGGCAGTTACCCAAAGTTATTTTCTGAATGCAACATTTTTTAAAGTTATGTACAATGGAGAATTCCATCAACCATGAAATCATTATCAAATTCTCACTGTATGGAGAATAAAACTGTGTTTTAAAATGGCTATCTGATGATGTCATGGGGCGGGGGCTGATATTTAACTGCCATGTTTGAGGTTGTTAGCTGTCATTGTGAGTTTCCCCAGTATAAGCACACATTATTAAAAGTCATTACATGAGATATCTTACCCCTAACATCCTTTTATTTTATCAGCACCACAATAGAAAGAATTGGGAAAATAATCAAGAGGAGTACATTTGAAGAATGCCTTTAGTTCACTTCATCTCATCTTCTTTGGGGAATACCCACCAAAACTGTTTTCCCATTGCAGATTCAAGCTTTACGAATCTGTATCTTAACTGAGTCCAGCATCCTGGTCTTTACCACCCATTCTGGTAACCAATATCCAGTTGTTAATTACTCTCTTCATGAAGAAATACATCCTGTTTTTTGTCCCTGAATTTATGCCTTCTTGTACTGATGCACCTTAATGTGAGTAATAAAATAATCTTTGCATTTGGTATAGCGCCTTTCACATCGGGAGGATGTCTCAAAGTGCTACTGTAAAGCGTAGTGATTGTGTATTTGTTGGAAAACCCAGTAGCTATTTTTGCACATAGCAATGTCCCACAAATAGCCAAGAAGTGAATGACCAATTTTATCTCAGGGATTGTTGGCCAGGACACTCAGGAAAACTCGCTTCTCTTTCCTTTCTTGCATAACCTTATAAAAAGTTTGGATAGGGGCTGCTCCCAAGTTTTTTTAAATAAAATTAGCATTTTATGTATGGAATGCTAATATCATTGGTAAAATAATTTCTAGGATGGTAACTAACTCCCAAAGCCTTTAACATCATGTAGCATATTTGTGAGGAGTTGCTTTCAAACTAGACTGTTTGTAAATTGCTGTCATACTGTAATCTTTGACATTTCCAAACAATCATTTCTAGGAAAACAAAACAGTTCTGGAGAGGAGGAGGTTAATTCTTTTTAGAAGAAAGTGTTCATGATAGTTTCTTTTGAAATAACTCTGTTTTGTAATCAAAAATATGAATCAACATGAAAACAAATTTCAGGCAAGTATCATGAATTACTAATCCACCATCAGAAGAACCAGCGCTTTATACAGATTGCAATTATGCAAATCATTACGTGTCACTGGGGCTCTATTTGCTCATGACATCTCCTAAAGAGTGATTCTTATTACAATATCTATGTATCCACACACAAAACATATCCTTTCCAAATCGTTTCTGCTTCTCATAAACAGTGCTGGAAACTGAAGAACACTGTGAACCATCATTCATTATCACTCAGGTTCACCTTGGAAAGTTGCCATCTCAGGAATACAAGATAGTAATAGAAGCTACCTTACCTCACTAGCTAAATAAATGGTTCTAGTGCTGACTGCAGTGCTTTGTAACACTAAAATGCTGAGTGCTGGTATTAAGTTCTGG